CACTGAAATTATTATGAATTTCCTCTCCATTCTGCGAAGTTTCATTAATCTCTGAGCTTTTAGCGAATTCCTATTAAACATAATGAAGCACCGGTGCATTTCATTTAACTTACATTTAAATATGAATTTGTATTCATTGAAATAAAAAGTAAACTAAAACTAAAGAACAAGTCACTGATTCTTTTATTAGCTTCAAGGATGCAAATTATATGAAAAATGGTTACCCACTTTAGAAAACAGCAGTTGGTTACATATTTAATGTAAAGTATTTTGTTGATAATGAGTTTAATTCGCATTGTTAAACTAGATGGCACTGTAGCTGCAGTGAAGTTGAATGTGCTGAAGCTGAATCTTCCTGCATCGTGCAAGCTTTTTGTGTTACAAGCTTAGATATTATACTACACTATTACTTCAATGCATATATAAAATTCCTTGTTTGGACCCCTATTTACAGATATTGCGTGGCTCCGCCCATGAACATGTAACTTCTACAGCTAAAGTTTAAAGTAAGTACAGGAGAGACGTAGCAATATTCTAATGTGAAAGTGCTTTGAAAATTCGTCAGTTCTAGGTATCCCGAGATCAATATTGCTCTGTGAATCATATATAATAGCTCATATATTTTTATAATAATTACTTAAATTAAAAAAAAGCTACCATTAAAACGTAACATCCACTACAATACTTTTGACATTTTTGTTTAATAAATATCAGACAACCACAGAACATAGATATGTTCTGTGCAGACAATAGATAAAGTAAAGTACTCCTTGACAATTAAAACGATTAATAAGTGGTCGAGTTTCGACACTCGCACGTATTATAAAAATTAACATAATTTGAGAGTATTTTCGTTCGTTTACACGTAACTTAACGAATAACTGAAATTAACATTATTTAATTTCCGTAACTCTACTTACTTTAATTACATCAGAAAGATTATCGGAATGTAAAGGTTTACGGCAAACAATAAAATTTGACGTTATATCTAATGAGATACACTGGTAATAGAAATTTTAAATGTTCATATCTTTATGAATTTTTGATAATATTTTTATTTGATATTATTAAGATATTACAGCAATTAAATTGGTGATTACTTATAAACTCATTATATCTCAAAATTATCGTGTTGCCTGATATGTTATTGTAAGATCATAGATTTTTTTAGTGACGTCAATATTCTATTCTAATGTAAAGTGACTTTATATAAGGTACTGTCACCAAATAACACCTACTTTTTTTACTAACATCTACTTTACTAGCTAAAGCGCTAAAAAACTATCTGATATCTTCAAATTTGATATATCAGTGTGGGACTGTTATTAAAATATATGCTAGTTAGTTTTTTAGTAGTCCAGCGGTTGAAAAGAACAGGCTTTATTAGGCGACAGTATCTTATTTATAATGTATTGATCTGGTGATTACAAGTTTTTGTGAACGTCGTTATTTTTATTAGAGCTGGTGAGTTTTTTTGTTTGTTTTTTTTATTATCAAAAAGACGTCCTGGACGAGTGATAGGAAAAAAATGTTGGACGTTTCAAAAGTTATTTTTGACTATGACTTTGTTGTTTGTTCTTGCAAATTTCATCTATCGACGGCATACATAGACTTCTTACAAAAAACATGCTTAAAAATTCTCTATTTAGCTACTTTAAGCGAAGAAATTTGCAGAAGGTTTTTGGCACTGATATCACACTATAAATTGATACATAGATAAAAAGAATTCACATTGTGTTGAAAGCAGAACCACGATAGTTGGCAACTTTACAAGACAAATATTGTATCATAAATGAGATAAATAAAAATTTTGCACAAGATTTGGTCATTGCTATACAGCTTATTACCATCACCAGCCTATTAATATATCTACTGGGATTCAGACTTTCCCTATGGATGAAATCGAATCTAATAGAGAAAATGGGCCGTGAGCCACCATGCGGCCCAAGTGTGGAAACTAGGGCCCAAAAACTAGCCCAGTATGGAAGAACTCGAGATATTAAACTTTTGATCACCCATCAATGACAGGCCCTAGGTCAAGTGGTTTAACTTCAGTATTACAGACCAAATATGCCAATCACTATGCCATCGAGCTCCTCATTAAAGCTCGACGACGATTTATAAGCCTTATTAAATGTAAGCTGCTAAATTTTTTAAGATAAAATTTACTTATACTGGTTTTATAAGGCAAGCCGTCCTATCAAATTTTCAAAACATTCGCTTGCTGTTAGGAATTGAAAGTTTTTGATGATAAGCATGTATATTATGTTAAGTGTTATATATATATTTTTTAAATAAATGCGAAATATTAAAATAATTCTATTCAGGTTATGCAAAACTATTGCAATTACACAATGCAACCAGAAGTATGTTTCTTAAAATTTAATACTTATACAACTTCATTTTTTAAATAGAACTGACTTATAAAGCTATTATAAAAGTAAGAAATTTGGCGTATCTTAAAAACGATTTAATTATTCATGAAACCGCTACTGAAATCTGTAGGTTGTTATACTATAACAGACTTCAATAGCAGTGTTTTGAAATATTGCGGCTTTTAAGATAAGTATCCTTTCTGATTTTTGTAAAGTTTGAAGTCGGTTAATGTATCGAACAAGATGATTAGATTTCATGTTAATTTTGTTCTATTTTAAATTTAGGGCATGAGATTTGTAACTTAGTCTTGTAAGAGATATTGCAAGGCGTCTGTTGTCTGGCGCCGGAGGCTTGTTGGCTGCTGTTTTTTTTGTTGCACCAAGGATATAATACTTGCTGTATTACTTTTGGCTCTTTGCCACATGAAAAAGCTTGTTCCACGGTAATTTATTGCTATTCTTCATAAAATAGTAGTATGTTAAATAGAAGTATTTTTTACCATGCAACATATTTTAATGAATACACTTTATTGTAGATAAATACAAAAGGGGCCTTATTACTAACTAAGCAATCAAACGCAACTAGGCAACCAAATGCAACTAGGCAACCAAATGCAACTAGGCAACCAAATGCAACTAGGCAACCAAATGTAACTAGGCAACCAAATGCAACTAGGCAACTAAAAGAAACTTTAATTGAGGAAAATAACTGCGGGATAGTGCATTTGCAAAGAGCAGAATGTTTATTAAAGTATCAGGTGTTTCCGCGAATTTAAATATATATATTTTTTCTATAATGTCTTTGAGTCCAAAGTTGTTGCTTTGCTTTTTATTTTACATTATTTCATCGTTTTTAAATAATTTGCAACCGATGTAATTAAAGAAGTAGTGGCTTTGTTCTTTAGGTATCTTTTCATAGAGAACTGCGCCTTCAAGATTTGTTAATTTAAATTTTAGTTCACTTCCTATTTACCTTTAAACTTAGTAAACATAAATCCATATTTAAATGCGCATTATTATGGTGGAGAAAATTTACTAAAACCTCAGAGATTAATGAAGCTTCAATCTCGCAAAGCGGAGAAATATTCATAATAATACCGTAACCGTAATGTAATGGGTTACACTACATGTAGTTTAAATTGGTGACATCAATATTATTTACAGAAATTAACCTTGTTTGTGGGAGACTGGCGAATTATTTAAGCATTATTCATTAAATTTTATTTATCGGTAGGTATCAAATTATAAGGATAGGTTACAAGAAGACCGCAGATCTCGAATATGATTTGAAGAGTAAAAGACGAAGCGCTCAGTATGTGGATGAAAGAGGGAATAAAGAAGCAACATAATGTGATAATCTCTTCTACGACAGATAGATAGTTGGGATTGATAAAGAGATCATTCATATTCAGACAATCTAGATCAAAGATTAAGCCGATACATAAATTCCGAAAACGCTCGAGTTCATTTTGATTTACAATAAGTTCACAAAAATTTAAACCTAATTAAGCATTCAATTTGAGAGCTAGTGAATTTGCTAGATTTAGGACCAAATAAAAATATTTCGGCAGTTTTGCATGAAAGGAGTTTTTGTATTCGTATAAAATATGAGAAACATTCTCAAAAATTAAAATTAAACCTAGAACAACCATTAAATAAATATTACATATACTTTTCATTTGAAATATTATTAAAACGCATTAAATACTCATCAGTGGTGTATTGATTATAGCCTGTCGTCGTTTAATTACTTATATAGATATTGAGGCCGGTGACCTTTTCAATTGTACTCGTATAGTGCTGTGTAACAATCGATAAATATGTTAAGAAAAGATTTTAACAGACAAATTTAACAACAACAGCGTACACGATAAAGGCCGGTTTCAATAAATCTATTGTCAGTACGATATTAACCTGTCTTAGTTCGGTCTCTTAGCAACCGTTTATTATTTTCCAAAATTAACAAAAATATCTAGGCAACACAATTTGAATATATCTATATTTTACTAAGGACATGGAGATAGACCGACTAACGATTTTTGTAGGTACCTATTGATTTCACAGTTTTTAACTGGGGGCCAATTCTACTAAATAAATTTTGTTTAAATCAAATCGAAAATCGATCGAAACCGAACGGAACTACAGTTTTTAATGGTTTTTCTATTCTACTAAGTGACATACGATACAATTCCAGCTAAAGTAGAATTGGTTTACGATTCGATTTAAACAAAATTTATTTAGTAGAGTTGGCCCCCTGGTGTCTTTACAGTAAGAAGTCAATGTATACAACAGATGAAGGAAAAATTCCGTTTAGTTCTATCAATATACATATTTGTTAAATCATATTGAAGTATTCAGAATGAATAAGAATATTTGCTCAATTGTAATTTATTGTTATAATGTGTACGAAAAACCTGTATGTTGTGGTTACTTTTTTAAAATATTTCATTACTAAATACATTACAATTAAAATTATAGAAAATTTTAACCTTATTTAGGTTAAGGTCATAATTAAGTTAAAGTTACACAATTAGCGCATTATGACTAACGAAAAAGGGTTCGTTCTTTAGCTTCAAAATCCGGTTCATTAACAGTATAGAAAGAGTGGGACGGTTATATACTTACCACCTTCTCCTCCAGTATGTCATTATTATTGTTGTTGCTCCCATATTTTAAGGCACCGTTTTCCATGACCACAACTGATAGTCGGGTTTACTTTGATTATGTTTCTCACATATGTTTCAAATTATTATATGTTTGATATCATTTAATTTCATTTTCAAGTTCAATTGGATATTCACATTGAATTATACTAATGCACATTATCTACTTAACTAGTATTTATTGACACTGACATGATTACTTTAAGTTTAATAAACTTAATGTTACCAACATTCTTGCATGTTCTTATATTGTTTACTATATGAGCGATGGAACTAAAACAAAGATTAAAGTACACTAAATACCAATAGGTATTTCAAAAGACTACTATTAAAAACTATGTACATATTGATTTTTCTTAGTACCGACGTTCGCACAACTTATTTAAATATGCCATGAACATAACGGTTTAAGTAAGGGAAATTATTTCTAATAAACTACTCGATTGTACCAAGCACAATGCAGAGACAACATATTCCTATTTAAAATTTGTTTCTATTATAATTACAGGTAATATTAATACTATCCGGATTTACCCGCTTGTACGACTCGCGAATCGAGATACGTTAAGATAAAAAGCAGTTACGATTACATAATCATAATAAGTGACCGTTGCTACGTTACTTTTCTTTGTAAACACATTTCTTTGTTCGATTTATTCACGTCATTTTCACTTGGTATAATGTTTAAAGTTACTATTTAGCATGTAATTGTATCGTGTTCGGCATATTGTTACGACGTTGTCACTGGCACTGCACTGATGGTGGAGAAGTTACGAGTGTTGTCGGGTTAGGGAATGGGATGTGAGCGGGCATTCGGTCATGCGGGGTATGTTGAGTAGAGGCATGGTGCAGCCGGGCGGGCGCGGCGCGGTACACTGCGGCGCGGCGGACGGCGGGCGCGGGTGACGGGCGGCCGGGACCGCATACACATGCCGCCCGCCGCGGCACACCATCGCACCATCATTTATTATTGACATAGGACCTTGGACTATTTACTAATTTTCTTTCTTCTTTGCATACTGAGGTTTAGTGGGTCAATGGTTAGATTGTGTTACGTGTCGATCATATGGTGCTGTTAATTATAAGAAACAGTATAGTAATAACGGATTTCGCTGCGGATGTAGATAGTTTATCGTGAAACAATTAAAATATGATATTTAGAATGAACTTCGTATTTATATATTTAATCTATATATTAGACCGGTTTAAAAAAACTAATTATTTTATAGGATAATTGAGATATTGTTTAAGTGAACCTTGAGTAAGAATATAAAAAATATTGCATTTAAAAAAAATGTCATAATAGAAATATGTTTAGGGCACTATATATTTAATTTACGTGTTAGAATAGTTATATAATATTTAAAACTATTCTTAAGATATATATTATTAGTATATTTTAAAAATCTCTGCCAAAGACTTGATTTACAGTAACAATATTTACCTAGGTACTTTTTTGAAATAATTGCATATCAAATATCTCCCTCGATTTGTATTTCTTCTAATTCTTTTGTTTTGTTGGGTCGACGTTTTTCGCTTTTTAATTAAAACTTTTTAATCGATTTGCTAAATGCAGTGGGTGAGATATAAAACTGGACAAATAACAAAAAAGTGAAATCGTTTAGTAATGAAATTTAAAATAAAATCAACCATTTGGATGCGTTCATTTCACAAAAATGCATGATGCAATAAGTATGTTTTGTGAATAACTAGGCCCAAGTAGCACACAAATAATATATTAACTAAAATAAGAACCAATTTATGTCCTAAAGTCATACTAACATTTTTAATCAGCTCTGGTCAAGTTTCGAATCTGTTTAAAGGCATTATTTTATCTAATAATGCTTAATGCCATATTATGGTTAATAAAAAAAGTATACCAATGTCAAAACTCCTATTTAAGTATTGGGTAATATTAATATAAAGCTGTTATCGTATTTCGGTGATATAAAAAACATTATATATTATATAAGCATTAACGTAATACTATTTAGTGCACTTAGTTGTATTTAGTCATTTTCTAGAAACAAAGGTTTTCTAATGGTCTATGGTTGTATCGATTTAATGATTATCCTATATACACATTGAATAAAGAACTAGTAAAACTTTAGCACCGATTTGTTCTTAAAGTATTCTTTAATCAAGCTCAAGCTCCTTTATCTTCTTAATCTATGCTTTTATAAAACATTAAGCTATATTTTGATCAATATTAAGTTATTTATAGAGATAGAAGTAATAAATAGATCGTAATTATTTTTTTATGTGAAATTAAAATGTAATATTATTTTATGTATTGTATTGTAATGGTGGCATTTTATACGCATCGCTGGCGCCATGGACAAAAAACGTTGGGAAAAACAAAGAAAACAGATGGATATAAATGAAAACTGAAAAAAAGAGTATTCTAATTTAATTGAAGCTTTTAAAAATCAAAATAAAAATGAAATAATCGTTTGATGATTATAAGCACTATAAGATACTTCTGAAGTGTAAAACTACGGCTGTAACTAAAATGGGAGTGTGTTATACGGTGAATTACGAGCTCTTAGTTTTGTGTCTAACCATAATACGATTAACAGCTCTACTACACCACATTTGAATACCTAATGCTTTAATTTTACGAGTCGCCATTTGCTTTCTTTTTCCAATTCTTACAAAATATTTAAAGTCCACTGTGTCAGATGAAAAGGGGTAAATAATCATTTATTTTGTGCACAGATGCCTATAAAAGCAATTATGTTGTTAAAACAATGCTAAAAAGCCTAAAATTCAACAAAAAATTTTGCTACTAGGTTAAATTTTTTATCATTTTTATTATATTAAAGGAAGTTTGCGAAGGCGCGTGTATTTTACACCATAAACTTGTATATTTTACTCCACAAACTGATGTGTGCAGCTTATTTCACACAAAACGAGCTGTTTAAATCAATATTCAAAAATACTCAAAAGACCAGCCAAGAGAACATGTCATGACACTTACACAAAACAATAATCTAAACCGAATATATGTTTTTAAAATCTATTAAATATACTTTTTTATAAAGGAAATAAAACAGTAAGCATTTTTATAATATTAAATTAACGTATTATAATTTTGATTTACGCATATCAATTGTAATATAGTCACAAAAAGTTCAATTAGCACTTTAAGGTGCTAATTGAACTTTTTGTGGCTATTAGAATGCTTTTACCCGACTTTATTAATGCTATTATATAAAAGTTGTAGTGCTATTGCACAGCTTTTATAAAGCTTAAAGTCGTACAAAGGGGGGGCCCAAATTTTATGTATAAGAGTCGTTTAAAAGAAATACGGTTGATATACGATTTTATTATAATGCTTAACGCTTGGACTCGTGCTATTATAAGTTTGATATAATGGTGTTTTGTGCTACTTGGGAGGTATCTTTAATTATTATGATGACATCGTATAACGCATAAGAAGTTTAAATTTCATCATAGATTATATTATTTGTTATCAGAGATATAATGAAAAATAACCGTTTTAAATCAGTTTTATATTTATTGTAAAATCAACATTTTATTTATGGATAAATATGAATTAAGAATGGAATACAATACGTATAATTTGAAAATAATCAATATGTTAAGCTTATCCAAACATACAATGATAAATTCTCTTTATTACGTATATAAAGAATCCTCTTCAATATATAATTAATAAGTAATCATTACATTTATATAATAGGAAGATAGGAAGCATTAAATGTTGTATCAGAGGTCGCTCTACACGTCATCATCCCGTTAGTTGTGACGTATATTGCTACGTCACTCTTGAGCGGGCTTCCACAAAAGATAGTTGCGTGCATTGTTTGCAGTATGAGCAGGGACGAGTAAGGTTATGCTGACTTGCAATTGTAGCGGTAGTGTATTGGATGCGAACTAAATATTATTTGCTAAAAACTTAAAATACGTAGATACTACGGTATTTAATCTGACGTGAGGTTAACTCATTTAAAATCAATGTGTTATTTAATATGGTCTATTATTGTTAATACAATTATTAAAAAATATATTAATTAGTATGAAAATTGACCACCGTCAATAATATTTTTTTAACCGGATTTAAAAAAGGAGCAGCTCTTAAATTCGACTAAATATTTTAGTTTCTTTTTTATTCCTCAAATAGAAGATCAATTGTGATAAATCTATTTATTTTCAAAAGGGTATTTTTTGAGTAATCCCATATACAATATTTCGTGAGGATTGGATTAGTATTAGTAGTTTCTATAACTGTAGTTTCATTAAGCATAAACCTCATTTTTCGTTAAAATAAAATATCAAATAATAAAATTGAAGTCAATGTAGTTTTTTCTTTAAACTAAGCCGTTTTTTTTTCATTTACGAATTGAGATAAAGAAAAATTATTCTTAACAAGAAACTTGTTTTGAATTCGGGTAACGATTTTATAATCACACTTTAAACAGTTCGATTGATTGCTTTTTGATTTTTTTTAGATACTTGGTTTAGATTTTTTTAATTTATAAGAAAGAAAGACCAAGTACCGTCCTAGTAACAGATTCAAAAAAGAACTCAAATGTTATGATAAGATATAATATTGTGCAGTTTTTAAGTTAACGTTATTTATCAGATATGTTATACAGACATATATACTTAATATGATAAAGAATTATATATCACCACTTTACGCATTCATGATAAAAAATATATCGCAGATAAGGCTAGTCTCAGCCTACAATCAAACAAGATAATAGTATGCTGCATAATAAAGTCTATATTTGTGTACTTCCTATATTAGTTCCTATTGGAAATTATAATGATTTTTTTTAGATTTATCACATACACGAATTATGGAGCGTGATACGATTAATAGATTATGATGTTTTTTTGTGTTATTGCGCCACATTACTGTATAGTCATCATTAAATAACAAAATTCAGTTTTCATCATTAGTAATTAATAAATAAGGTCATTGGCTGAATATTTTTTTATGATTTTTAAGGTTAAAAGAAAGTAATCGTTACATGTTTGCGAAGTTAAAAACCTATCAATAAAACCGATGGTTCAAACTTATTTGTAAACATCAATTTATCCGAGTTTCAAACAAAGAAAAGTTTTGTTCAAATCAAATTGAAAACACTCGGCCATTGGCTGGGCCGACCATTCGTGTCGTTTCATTTGCATATGAAAATGGGCTTGTTGAAAATCCTTGTTGGTGTTATCTTTAATGCGCCATATACGCCATGTTGACTACGGTCATATACCTATATGATAATATTAAAAAAAAACTCTATTCTTTTAATAAAAAACACGAACGACAACCAATATAAATTGGGGTTAAATAATAAAGAGTTTCTTACTATCGAGTTCAGTTATGTTATCCTATTATATTATAAATGTGAAAGTGTCTTTGTTTGGATGTTTGTCGGTCAATCACGCCGAAACTACTGAACGGATTTTAATGAAATTTGGGAACCCTAAGGACCACGCGGGCGAAGCCACTGGCGAAAGCTAGTTTTGTAATAAAATTAACCTAGACCTCAACGTCAAACAAAGCGCTACGACATCAACGATATTAAATGAAATAAATCATACTTCAAAAAAATAATGAAGGTTTAAAACAGTAAAATTTTCATGGTGTGACAGCGCTGTGGTCTGAATTATGATTAAAACTATCCCCAAAATATAGTACATTAACTGGCATAAATTAACTACCTATATGTCGTTAAGTTATGTATATACTTTACATGCAGTAAAATGTTATTATATTTTGCTTTGCGGAACTGTCCGAAGAATGTAATTAACAGCGGACCGTAAAAACTGACGAGCGGATATACGGACACCTGAAAATAAAATGAAAAGGGAAAAGTTACAGCTTTTGAAACATGAAACATTTTCTCTTTCTCCCTTTTTACAATAGTAAATATAGTGGCTCTTCTTTTTTAAATATAAAACGCAAAGCAAATCTAGAATTTACATTTCAAGGTCAGAATAATATGGAATAATCCAGCGACAATTACTTTTAATGATTCAGTGAAATTAAACATTCATGGAAATTATACTACTCAAATGAAACAAACTGAAATATTTTAACCGTATTTATACTATTCATAAAGTAAAATTTAACTTGTTTTACTACTAGTAAAACCTTCAGTTTCAAATATCTATGAGTGAAACAAATATTTTACCTACTCAATTACGTAGAGCTGGACACGAATGATATAATAATACTCTGGAATAGAAAATTAATTATTTTATTTGTTTTCCATGTGCTTCGGAAGGTAACTTAAGCTATAGGCCCTAGCTTTAACCGGAAGCGTTAACATTAAATGTTTTGTGTGATAGATCTGGCCCGTTTTCCCTTACTTAACCTATCTATAAGGAAAGTGTGTTCTTTAACGACAGAGATAATATTACCACTCGAGGAGTAAAGATCATTCTCAAGTATCCCGCGCGGGATAGGCACAGTCCACTATTCAGCGATCTATATTATAAATTTTGTTTGAAACTCAAATGGATAAGTATTTAAAAATATTGATTTTTCCTTTACTTTTTATACCCCATCTTTAGGCGTATGAACCCTGCTTTTCCAAAGCTTCTACATATTTGGACTTATTCTAAAATCATGTGTCATATTTTTTAGTGAAGTGTTATAATATTCCCATTATAAAATTTGATAAATGGACTTTTAATAGATGTGATAAGGGTTTTCATGTTATTGATATGCGCTGACTTAATTCAGTTAGTGATAAAGCGCGCGACGCTCAAGGCTCTTGATGTTTGGCTTGTATATCATATTATATTACTATAATTGTTTTAGTATAAAACTTGTAGACATTCTATTTGAAGATTAGTGTTATTATTGGTGTTGCGAGCGTACATGTTAGAGTGATATTTCGTAAAAAAAGAGATTTTATCTCAAATATTGAATAAAATTAAATATCGATTAAAAATATGGTATAATAATAGGGAAAGTGTTTATAATAATTCGTTAAGGTTTAATATAAAATATAATGGACAGCAAAAAACAAGCGAATGGCAACACGCCAACAAAAGAGAAAAACAAGAGTAAAGATTCGCCTCTACAAAAAGATGTTCCTGGTATTATATCAAGATTTTTCTTTTGTTGGATGATGCCTTTATATTACAATGGTATTAAACGGGACTTAGAAGAATTTGACCTAGTGCCTGCTAAGCATCAATATGATTCTAAAGTTGTAGGGGATTTATTAGAAAGGTAAGAATTTGATAAAACAAAGATTTTTTGAGTTATTTCTATGTTGGTAAGTGGGTTGGCATTGTTTATTTAATAGTTCAATCTCGTTCTCGCTCAGCTTATATTATTTAAAATGGGCCCTTATGAAAATGTATTATATAAAATATTTTTTTTTTCACTTCAAAGAAATGATAATTTAATACCCCGTTTTCCCCGTTAAATAACAATCATGCACACAGGCGAAGAATACAGATTCTTTTTATAACAATAGGTCCATATAATCATAGATACTTTTTGAAGTAGGTATAATATTTCAAATATTTATAATTTACTCATGTTTGTTGTTTGTGTTATTGATTGTATGTTTAATCGTTAATGATGTATGTAGTGAATTGCAATTAAATATAAATTAATTCTCAATTAGTCTAATTCTTGTTAAGTATTTTAATGTGATGTTACATCAAAATTTAAATCAAGTTAATTAGGGCATTTATAGTGATCGTATCTTCAATTCTACTAATGTTTATATAATCGCAACTCCGTAGAATTTCAATTACTTACTATCTACCTGAATCAATATTATTATATATATGTCATTCAGGTCTACCTTAAGGTCTACCTGCTATCTATAGTACAATGGTAAAATGCACTTGCATGTAGTAAAGATTTTATTTTTATGCGATTATTACAAAAAAAATAACAAAATTGTGCTATCGGAAGAGGTACAGCGGTTGGTCGTCGTACGTAACGCGTTCATTTGTTTCTATATTGCATCGGTCTACCGGTGTATGTATGTACGCACCGACAGTTAGTCGTGCTCTGTAACCGGTCTTTGTAGTCTTCATATAACAAAGGCACTGTGTCTACTTTTTTTGCTGTCGGACATCGAAGTTGTACTTTTACTGCTACGATATTTCTATGTCGGAGCCCTATTAGCCAGTTGCACAAATGTCTATTATAATTGTCGTTAGATTAATTTCAAATTTAAACATTAATTAAAGCTTACTCATCATTAAACTGTAATCAATATTTGTGTAATTAACTAAATTAAGAAGAAGAAGTTTCGAAATTCAACTGTTCCATAAGATGAAATTGCCTCTCGAATTAATATTTTATGTTAGTTGCGGGCCTTGATGCTGTTTTTATGTGCTAACAGTTAGTAATGTCATCTTTTATAATAGTTCGTGTATCCTTACATACTCTTTATAGAAATTCATTACTCTGGCTAGAAGTTAGTTTTCTGAAACAAGTGCAATAATCCCTGTAGACATAGGTGCATATGATGGTCAGGAGTTTGGTTTTATACCTGTTGGTATAAAGAGGTTTTGACAGATACAAATATATATTATCGGTCAAAACAGATTTGTTCACAGTCACAATCTCTGCGTGCAAGTTTAGATGATTTTTGCAAGCTTTGATTTTGCTAGGGCTTTGATGACGAAGACCAATATTAATATGATACAACATTAGATGCAAAAAAATTTACACAGGACCTTTAAAAGTACACTTTTATCTCCTTCTTATATCGTATTTATAAAATCATTTAAGTTTGCACTCAATATTCCAATTGGTAATAAATTTTTTTGCTATTTTTCAAAATGAGTTACTAAATAAATGTGACGAAATCAATAGAATACTTAACATTACTACTTATTACTTAGACAAATATCATTCTAACTTTCATAGAGATATAGACGGTATATTTGTGGTGTATACGTAGCCGGTTTATGATGTGATTTACATAGATATATGTGCATTTTTTTACTACAAAACTCTAATGATATCTTTCATTAATTATGACATGTTACCAGAAGCGGAAATAATAATTAATTTATTTTAGGAAATGGCTGGAAGAGGAGGCAAAAGCCAGAGCGGATGGTCGCACGCCGTCTCTCAGGAATGTGTTGATCAAAACTTACTGGTTAAGCTTCATTCCCGGCGGCATTATGCAGTTCCTATATGTATCGATCAGGTAAATGGACTTGAATATTGGCTCTAGTCCTTCATGTAAGACAAATTGTGTTGTTGAGAGACTTGGAATTTCCCAGGTATTGTTTTTGATTCCCGATCGTCAGGTCTACCAAGACATTCGCTTCAAATCTGTTGACATTGGATGCATTCAAAATTCACTCAAAGATCAATATATTGTAATGAAACTGTATTTTTTTGTTAATTTAATACAACTCGATGTACTACATATTGTATCTAACAATATAGTATTAAACATCGAGTGTATTTTAATACAATCCAATGTCAAGGAAGTTGAGGTCAACGATCAACATTTTATATGTGTCAAGTGAACTTTCTTCTTGATTATAGTTGGTTTACATTAATGAATAATTAAAAAAAATTTTTTGGACATGACCCCGGTGTCAGTAAAGTATTGTACATATAGTATAATAAATGAGATTTAAAACACAAATTGTTCTATCTCCATAAATAACTAAAACTATATTTTCATTTCATCCAAGTTCATTCATTCAATTCAAATAATATTTAAATTGCAATTGGCAACGCAATATTTTTTTTTCTCATTTTATATAATCTTACTACGTCGTCATTCATCCCTTATTTACATTATAGAATGGCAATACCTTTCTTCGTTGCTTCAGATTCCCATAAGTTTTGGGATAAGATCTGTGTAATGTATGTGTGATATTGTATAATATTAATTTATTCCCTTTTCTTATTCAAAATATAAGTCCTAAAAATTTTCATAAATAAAGAAATCACAATTATTATCAGAAAACGTCTTTTTTTTTCACGATACTACACTGATAGCGTAGCAAATCTTACGAACGTCACTCTTACGGAGATTTTATCTAATAAAATTAATATCAGCTGTGGATGTAGATAACTTTATGACGAACCGTTATTTTAAAAAATGAATGAGGCACAGCACAGCGACTACGCTTTAGTAAATTTTTCATTCAGATAGGTTTAATCTGTCTCATCGCGCTCAACAATGAGATACACTTCTTTTGATGAATTGCTTGCAAATTATTACGATTATTATTAAAGTGCTGCATATAGACTTCGTTCATAAAGAGACTTACATATTTACCATTTATTTTTAACCGACTTCAAAATCGAAAAGGATATACGTTCGAAGGCAATTTTTTATAAGAGTAGAAATACGTACAACAAGTTTGGATTATATTGACAAACTCTGTAGTCCATGGCCGAGTGATGTCCATGGCTCATGTCCCGATTTCAAGGTGCCGCCATCTCTAAGGTCGCGGGAAAAAGAAATTCCTTTTTAGATGTCTGTGGATGACGTTGCATGATGCATCATCATATTATAGATATATTTAAATTATAATAATACAATTGTTTGGGATTTTACGTATTTAGATAAGGTATGATATATTATCTATACTAATATAAAGCTGCAGTGTTTGTTTGTTTGAACTCCCTAATCTTAGGAGCTACTAGTACGAATTTAAATATTTTATTGTATTGAATTTAAATTGTATATAATAGTCTATTTATCGAAGAAGGCTATGAATAATAGGAGTGGAGCAGCAATGAAAAATTTTGCAAAAATGGAAGAATATTTTCCTTTTCGAGAACTTTACTTGCGTACACTACTGCGTAAACGGTGAAAGATACGCAAAAAAATATTTATTACAAAATTGTTATTCCATTTAAAAGTTCTAAAAGAAAGTCTGCAACAGCATATGTCTATTTTATATCATATCCCGCAAAAAAGCACATACAGGGGCGAAAATGGGAGCTGAAATTCGTATAGGGCATTAAAACGTTACCATAGAAAACAATGTTTACAATACAATTTGTCATTGTAATTATTTTCCATGTCATTCTTTTCCGAATCCATTATTAAATGATTTAAGCTGTTTACGCAGGATTTAATGATGTTTTGAATAATAAAAATCAATACAATAGTTGTCGCTAGTAGTTAATGCATATATTGGTTTCTTATATTATCACGCGCATTATCCATAAGTGTAACCAGTTTTAAATGGTATAATTGCGTTTGTATTTAGTTTTATTGACGTTTCAGACCCTTTACAGGTTTCGTGTTTACATAAGACACAGGTGTTGATTGTCTTTTAATTAAGAGTATAGCTACCTTTAAACAATATTATTGGACACATTCAGTTTTTTTTTTTTAATTTAATTTAAACGTTTACATTTATAACATTCAATTATTTTAAAAATACATTTGAGTTGTTCTAGCTACCGTAAACTACTACCAGTTCCAAAATTGGGAGTCTTGTCTGAGAAGAACTGGCGAAACAAACTCCGACAAGAAAAGTGATTTTTTCCCTTTGATTTAATATATAGCAAATATACTCGTATGTATAGCCAGGGTACATAAATAAGTCAAATATATTTTGTTTTCGATTAATTCAAACATCAAATAGCAATTCCGAAGCAATCCTATTATAACACTATTTATATATTAACATTCCACTATAACCACAAAATATGAAGGTAAATGATATTGATATTATTATTTATCTATACAAAAAAATAAATCACTAAGAGTGTCGGTAAGAGCAATATTGGGTAACAGGAGATTGGCAATTTTTCCTGAAGTCTGAGGAAGGTATTAAGGATAGAAGAAAGTGTATAATAAGAGAGAGGCAAATAGTATAAGTTTTGGATCCGGGCCTCTAATGAGGTTAAATTCTGCTGTTTTGGGTGGAGAATCATGGAAATCGGTACAAACGTTTTCGATTTATTCAATATTTCGCCATAGCGTCAAAACATTTGATGTTTGGTTAATAAATCTTTGTTAGATATAACGGGCCCTATTCAAGGTAAATAAATGCCTTAACATTTATTTATTATCGAACAATTGTACTTCGTTCGTTCAATTACTGTTTGATTTATCGTGTTCCGATAAAATCAAGTACTGATGATAAGAGGAATAAATAAATTGACCACTACAGAGTGCTGACTGAAATCTTGAATTTAGGAACCCACTGAAGAAGTACGTGTGGAATATTACGAGCCATTCCTATCTTTATTGGGGATGATGATTGGGTTACAAAAAGAAATGCTACAATTTAACAAGAAATGGCTTAGATAATAGGCATCAAAGTTGAGAGGTGGGGGCTAGCTACGTCACAGGTTTGTAGAAAATGCACAAAGCGTGACGTCATGCTACGTTTCAACTCAAAGTATTGACGTAATTTATTAATTATGCAAAAAATAAAAAGAACGTTTTTAATATACTTCACTAATCTACCTGAAGAACAAACAAAGATTAGTCGTTATCTCTATTCTATCTAACATCCTTGATCATCATCACCAGCATATCAGCATCCCTACTACTGGGCACGCCTTCTCTATCGATGTAATCGAATTGGATCGAGTAGGGAGAGTGGGCCATGACCCACCAAGCAGGTCCACTGTAGATTGTTGGGTATTAACGACAGCAAATGCATCTGCTGCTTGCAAAATTTATTTAACTTCCGCATCGCACACCGAACGTGCGAATCACTGTGCCATCGAGGAGGAGTCCATTCCACTTTAGACTGAGATCATTCGTCCGTATTAACGACGGTTTCTGAATTGATAAAATTACAAAATCTCAACTGATCATTCTCTCGTTCTCATTTATGTTATTTACTTTTCAAGAGGCAAACAGTCCTAATTTCGATCAAAACTATTATCATTAAATAATCAGAAACGAAAACCTGCTTAAGTGACATCTAAGTACAGTTTGAGATGTGTTTAATTTTAAATACTCAATTTAGAAACCGGGTGTATGTTTAGTGAAATATGAACTTTCTGGAGCAGTGTGAGAAGTGCAAATTAAAACGAAAATTTATTGATATTCAATTTTCTTCCTGTTATACACTTTATTATTCAAACGGTAGCGTATCAAAAGTTGTTATAATAGAAATTTACGAACAGGACTGTGACACCACTCCTGTTCGCGCAGTTGCTGCAGTATTGGTCGGTGAATTCAACAATGTCCCGTGAGACGGCTGTGGTGTATGCCGTGAGCATGATTGCGGCCAATTGGGTGGGTGCCTTCTTCAATCACCACGGCAACTTGTATTGCCAGCAATTCGGCATGATGTTACGCGTTGCTACCAGCTCGCTTATGTATAGAAAGGTGAAGTACTTAAAAGTGGCAGGACGCTAACTTTTTTTAATCAATATATTTGGAGTTTATTCTATCATATTAATGATTAAATAATTGATCAGTTAAACGAGATTTTTATGTTCGTATTATGACAATGTTTTATTGTATTTTTAATGAAAAAGGTTTAAAAATGCATCATCCCCAGTTACTATGAGGTCTAACTCGAATCCACGACCTTCCCCAATTCTGATGACTGCCCTAACCATTGCACTATCCAGAACCTAACAGGACTGACGAATTTTTCAAACACTTGTTACTTTTAGCTAACTAAACATATTTGCCTCAATGTTCAGGTAATCTACCCAAACAGCCAAAAGAAATATTTTTACAATTAATATTCTTAAACTTTCGCTTAAGATGTTTTTTTTTCTAATTATCATATAGAATTGCGAAAAGTCATGGGTTCGAGTCCCATCTCAGACTACGTGGTGCTGGTGAATTTTTAAGGAATTTTTATTAAGAATATTTTCCAGTATAGCATTGTTTATACAAAAATGATCAAATATAAAAACGTTTCACTGTGTTAATATGTTTTTTATGAATTTCAGTTAATGCGTATGAATAACGCTTCCTTAGGTGATACGGCAGTTGGCAAGGTAGTGAATATCCTCTCTAACGATATGCAGAGGTTCGATTTGGCTATGCTGTTCCTCCACTATGTATGGATCATACCACTTCAGATGGCCGCGGTGTGTTATTTGGGTTATATTCAGGCGGGTCCTGCGGCACTTGTAGGCCTAGCTGCTTTAGTCGTCATCGCTTTACCTATTCAAGGTTAGATTCAATTTAATATAATTTCTGTAAGGAAAAATCTGTTACAAATAAATATTCGTCACTCGTTGATTATATTTAATGAGAGATTAGTATCTATTATATATAAATAATTAAAGCACTAACTGCCGATAGTTATCAAAGTAGCCTCGCCGTAATCAGCTATATGTACTTTACTATAGCTATACTATTCTGGTAAATAAAAAATACTCTACGTTGAGTTGAAGTTCCGAGACAATTCAATGACTGAATGACTATTATTAATGAAGACAGTTCCTTATAAACATGGATATTTTTATTTTCAAGATAACATTAAAATAAAATGATAGTATCCATTATTTTGGAAAAAGTGTAACATTTCTAAAATATCATGTAGAAACCCTAGACCATGGTCTATTCTTGATAAATAATAATAATTTAATATTTAAAATTATTTTTCAAAATCGGTGCGTGCCTCATAGATAGTAATAGTAAAAGGATATATTCAGATATATCTCAAATTGTAATAATTCAATTTTTCAATTGACAGCAACAGAAACATTAAAAAATACAATTTGAGATTACAATTTGAAATAAAGTTTAATAATTACGTACTTATTAAGTTCAGTTTTAACTGTTCTTTATTATGTCATAGATCTCTGTTATCTTCTTGTCATTTCCACCGTTGTTTAGTTTTCTAATTGATTTTGATAAAGCGTGGTACGTATACGAACACCACACAACACTATAGCAAATTGAGCGTTGGCAAAGTTGCGGCAACATACTTGCTGTACCCCATCAGATATAAATAACTTCGTTTCTGTTGTTTTAAATTAAAGTTAGAATGATAGGAATGCATTTAACTCTGTCCTATGTGCACGGGAACTTACAATATCTATCCCACCCCTGCACTGAGAGCAAAACAAAGATAAATTTGACACCATTTAGTTGAATACTCAAAATCGGTAAAATAATGCCCATAATGCACACAAAATAAAGTTAAAATTCCTAAAATTAACGTGTTACATTTTTAGGTTATCTCGGTCAACTAATTGGAAAGCTGCGAATGCGAATTGCGGAAAAAACTGACGAGAGAATTAAAGTGATGACTGAAGTTATTAATGGGATACAGGTAAGAGTATTTTTACATTACACAAAAATCGTGTTCCTTAGATGTAATAAAATAAGTGTTATTTGAAGTAGACATGAAAGTGATAGCTAGTTTTTAATTATTTTCATATGATGCAATTAACGCAAAAAAATACTAACAAACTCACAGGCAATTTTGAATCATTAATAAACTGTTGCTGCACTGCTTTTACATATAAAATTTCAATTACGATTACAATAACTGCATATGGGTCATACCTGTATGTGTAAATAATAAGATGCCCGCCATGTAAAAGAGAAACCACGGAATCACCTTTTCATTTGTACCAGAGAATATGAGAGTCATTAGCGAGTGTTGCTTATGATTATAAAAATTATTAATTATATTGGTAAAGGGATGTCAAACAAGAGTGACAGTGATTCTTTGAGTCCTTCTTCTAAATCGTTCCTTTTGGTAGTGCCCATTTAAAAGACGTAAATCATTAATTGAATATTATCATGTGTCAGGTTATTAAAATGTACGCATGGGAGTTGCCTTTCCAAAATGTGGTGAGTGAGAAGCGTGGTGCCGAGATGAAACAAGTAAGGATTGCGTTGCTGTATCGTACCGTTTTCCTGGGCTTCATGATATTCACGGAGCGAGCGGCTCTCTTTGTCACAGTTCTAGTCTTCATTCTCTTCGGAAACACAATAACTGCAAATATTGTAAGTGGAGATATAATGTATTTTGTCATTCTAATATTGATTTAGAATAGTAAACTAAGTACGCGGCGTTAAAAGGAAGGTAAAAATTAGAGATTGTCATGGAATAACGACATGACTTCGTTTGGGTGAGAAAATTTCAAGTGATTTAGGAGATATTAAAACTAAAACCGACATAAAGAAACACACAGAAACAGCAAGTTTTGTTTAAACTATTCAGTGATATGATTGACAGGAAAATAAGTATCATTATGCGCAGGTATAGCATGTTAGTAAAATCTTAGTACAAGTGTCTATTATTATTCTAAAATATTGATTAGAAATTATATGGATTTGTAAATTAGCAGAGTAGTTTAGTCGTCACTTAGCTCATAAAAGCTTTCATCTTATAGATATGACTTTATGTTCGTAATTATGTAAAATATTATGTATGCTTGTAGATCTATCCTCTGCAGCAATTTATGAATGCGGCTCATATCAACATTACTTTAGTGTTACCCCTTGTGCTGGCTTTCACCGCTGAACTCTTCGTCTCGATTAAGAGAATTCAAGACTTCCTTATTCTGGGTATGTTGTCTATGCTCATTAAATTGTAATAGATAAACTAAAAATACTGGATCGAATTTGAAATTTCTTTTATCAATATAAAGAAACATTATCGGCGAGAGCTAAATTTTATTTTATTTTGGAAAAAGGCAGGATTATAGTAGTTTCTTTATAAATAGGTATAATTAACTTACTGTTTTCACGCGACGCGCCTATGATATCCGAGTAAGATGTAGTTTCCCATAGGTGAAACAATTTTTAAAATCATTCTCGTAGTTTCGGAGCCGAGGAATGATTTGATTTGTCAAATCAAATCTTTTTAATGTCCTGTCTCATCATTGGTTAAAAGTTAAAATTAAAACAAAGTGGAAAAAACTAACCTTGTACTGTTTTGCTTAACATACTGAGTGAATTGTTATCTGATATGGTTTATACGAATCATTGTTTAGTCTTATTTAAGACATCTTTTAGTAAGTCTGGGTGGTTGTGAAGTATCTGATGAAGTGCGTATACATATGTCAAGTTACGTTTCTGAAAAGTTATCTACCCTGAGAAATGACGTCGTATCTTTCCACTTACGTTATTGATTATATGATTTTAATCAAACATTAAACAACGGCGTATCTTAGATAATTGTAATTCAATAGCAAAGTTCAATTTCAATTCCAACTATTAGTACCTAATTTTATGAAGATAAAAATTCACACTGTGCTATTTTATAGTAGTTATCGCAGAATGAATTGCTTATAGCGCTTACTTATACCAGGCTTATGATTATCTTAATCTTCATAGTAATATACTTCTCTTGTTTCATACTGTTATATTGTATTAAAATAAATTTTATGATCTTGTTTTGTTACTGTTCAGATTTGACAACATTTACCCGGGTATCGACGTTTGCAAAGACGTCTGAATTTGCTCTCCGATACTGACCGCCGCCGGGTTGGTGGAAATTGTTAATATATCTTCAAAACTATTAAACCCGTTTGGTGAAATGTTTCCTAATATAAAAACAATGATTGCGATCTGATGTCTTATTTGCGAGAATTAAGTGAATTAAACATATTGAATGTACATAAATATTACGCTTACAAAATTTAACACGAGTATTAAGAAATTCGCATAAAGTGACAAATATAAAGTTGGTGTAATTCCGATACTATTGTCATACACACGGGTCAAATTCATAACTACTTGACCACCACTTTTGAAGTTGGTTAATATAAAATGTATTCTGCGGCCGGGCTTGTAGTATATTATGTATATCCTATACGCTAACCCTGCTATTAATAAACAAGGTTTAGCGTAAGAGTAAATATACTCCAACGTTAAAACTTGTTGAGTTCCATTTTTTTATTATTTACTCGTACAGATACAAGTAAAAATAGATATAAGTTCTACACGGAGCAATATAACAACATAGTTTAGTTTCGAGAGGCATTTCAGTATTTATTTTCTTACAGAGGATCGTCCTGACTTAGTTAAGAGTTCACATGGATCTTCACCGTCGAGGTTATTCCAAAAATCATCTTCTGTTTTTGAAAAATTCGAAGGACCCATCAGACCTCTGTCCTTCCAAACCCATTCAGAATTTAGTGATAATATTGGTAAGTGATACATATTTAATAGCTATTTATTAATGAGTAGAAAGAAATTACTAATCATGTGCGAAAATTCATATTAAGAATATATCAGTATCTATAGCTTTTTTAAAAGCCATTAGAGATGATAAAGATCAATTGGAGTGCAACATCAGAGTTATCAGTTCAAGATTTAGATCTGCTATGCTATCCTAAACAGAATAGCAAATTTCAGCGCTGGCCAGTCTATGGGCCGGTTAATGAGTTGAGAAAAGTACAAAATTGCAACTGATTATTCACAGTAACTTATTTTATTTTTTACGTTTCACTTAGCGCAAAGTCCTAGTTTGATAAAACGAAAGTCTTAGCTTGATTAAACTAGGACTTTGTGCTACGACAACAAACAACTGATCATTTAAAACATTAAACCTGCTTAAGTGACGTTTAAGATGGCTTATGTACTGTATCCTAAACAGAATAGCAAATTTCAGCGCTGGCTGGTCTATCGGCCGGTTAATGAGTTGAGAAAAGTACAAAATTGCAACAGATTATTCACAATAACTTAAGTTTTTAAGGTTTCACAAGCCAAAAATACTAGTTTTATCAAACTGCTGTCAACTGATCATTATAAAAACAAAAATCAGAAACGAAAAACTGCTGCAGTGCCGTTTAAGTACAGTTTGACCCGTTCTCAATTTTAAATTCTCAAGATTCTTAATAAAAAAATGCTTAAAAATCCACTTAGCCCAGGTACTCTGATGGGACTCGAAACCATGGCCTTTCGCAATCTCGGCGACTGCTCTAACCACTAAGCTATCCAGGACCTATCAGGAATGACGAATTTTTAAAGCATTTGTTACCTTTTGGCTACTACAGAGCGTATTTTCATCAATGTTCAGGCAGTCTACCTAAACAGCCGAAATAAATATTTTTACAAATATTAAAACTTTTGAAATATTAAAAATTTTAAAAATCCACTATTCACTATTGATCAAATAAAATAATTTAAATTCTCAATTCAGACCCCGGGTGTATATGTACATATAGGCAAATTTGGCAACTGCCTAGACCACTCGTATTCGGGTGGTGGCATATCCTGGAACACAGACTGTCACCGGGTTTCTGAGTTGAGAATTTAAAGTTAAGCACGTCTCGAACAGTACTTAAGCCATCTTAAACGTCAATTAAGCGGTTTAATGTTTTAAATGATCAGTTGTTTGTTGTCGTAGCACAAAGTCCTAGTTTAATCAAGCTAGGACTTTCGTTTTATCAAACTAGGACTTTGCGCCAAGTGAAATGTAAAAAAAAAAGGTTATTGAGAGTTATCAGTTGAGAATTTGTACTTTTTTTCAGTTCAGAAACCGGGCGTATATTTGCTCTAATGGATGTTTAATCATTACATATTTATTAATAAGATTTACTAAATGATTTATATCAGACATGTCTTTGTATATTTTTCTGTAACATCTCTCACCTGATATTAGACACGATAACTTAATGACATGACTAATCTTATCTTAAATTTAAGGTCAGGCAGGTCATTGATATATCAGCTTCATAGGTGTATAATCTTTTTTAACATGACACCAAATAGGTAAACAAATGCAACCGGTCAATCGTATGATGCTTCGATCATTGTCGCAGCCTGGAGGGGATACCGCTGTGGAATTACGTAATGTCACCGCTAGTTGGACCGGTGATCCTAATCTATGTGCTCTCAAGAATATTTCAGTAAGAATAAGGAGGGGCAAGCTATGTGCAATTATTGGTGCTGTGGGTTCAGGAAAGGTAGTGGTTTAGTTGTTTCAATATTCGCTATACCTCATTTGTTATCGACTTATTAATATCTCCACTGCTGGGGTATCCTTCCCTATGGATCGCAGACCGCTGGGTCATTGAGCTCATCGTTATTACAAGTTTTTCTAATACAGGACAGAAACATTTTGGGGATTTAACTATAGTAATTCTATGACATCAAGAAATAAGGCCAAAAAAATACAATATAACCGCAAAATACGATTTCAAATTACTTCTTAATAGCTTTAATTATGTTCTACTTACTTTATTGCGAGTTTAGAATATATCTATCATTTTTTGAGATTTTTGATTTGTATACATTTGTGTTTCCATGTTAAGTAAGGGTACAAGATATTAAGATGTATTAATCTAAAAAAAAATCTTTCTCCAGTCGTCAATTCTACAACTATTGCTGAAAGAGCTACCCGCTGCCAATGGAACCGTATCAATTTACGGGAACCTTTCATATTCCAGCCAGGAACCATGGCTGTTCCCCAGTACAGTCAGAGAGAACATTCTTTTCGGATTGCCGTATGATGCTGAAAAATATAAGAGGGTGGGTAAAGTCATAATATCTAGTTAGTTTCAAATCTGCAAACTAAAAAAGCTATAAATGATTTTATTTTAATACACGCTTAGGACATGATACATGTAATTAACAATAATATAAGGAATACATAACACAATAGTTGCATAAAATTACAAGTAAATCATTTGAAAATGGTAATATTGTCACCGATTCCTCCAGATTGAGTGTCTCATGAATGCACTAAATAAAACAACTCCCTGATAAGACTCTCATTAAATTATTTTATTTAGTTTTAAGCTATTTTTAGTACAAAATTGCAAACCGCATTTTGAAAACTCTTCAACTTTCATGGAGGCTTATAAATACATTAATTACTTTAAATTTGTAACCAAGTATTGCATTTAGATCAATTTGATGTTTAGGGGCTTTTATAAGAACCAATAAAGTTAATGGGAAAATATTGACGTTGTTTGTTCAGGTTTGTAGAGCTTGTTGTCTCGAAAAAGACTTCAAGCAATTCCCCTACAGCGATCAGACGTTGGTGGGTGAGAGAGGGGTGTCCCTGTCGGGAGGTCAGAGGGCCCGAATCAATTTGGCTCGCTCCGTATATAGAGAAGTATGCACATTTTCTTATTTGTTGCACAAACACGGGTTCATAACTTAATAACATTGCTCCACGCTTGTTTGTACGGCAAAATTTGTTTTCTGGTCACTCGATGATATTGAATTCGAGATTTACATGTAACGTTGAATGTTGAATGAGCTAATTGTATCTAGAATTCCTCTTAAACAATGACTCGATGGCTTTTGGAGTTGATTAACGTTATATTATGCATAATTTGGAGAAGTTATTGTAACTCAAACTTTTATTGGCAACGCATGACGTATTGAGAAATAACTTCATCGCACTTTGATTTATTCAGAAATAACCCAAGTAGCACAAAACACCATTATATCAAACTAATAATAGCACGAGTCCAAGCGTTAAGCATTATAATAAAATCGTATATCAACCGTATTTCTTTTAAACGACTCTTATACATAAAATTTGGGCCCCCCCTTTGTACGACTTTAAGCTTTATAAAAGCTGTGCAATAGCACTACAACTTTTGTATAATAGCATTAATAAAGTCGGGTAAAAGCATTCTAATAGCCACAAAAAGTTCAATTAGCACCTTAAAGTGCTAATTGAACTTTTTGTGACTATATTACAATTGATATGCGTAAATCAAAATTATAATACGTTAATTTAATATTATAAAAATGCTTACTGTTTTATTTCCTTTGTAAAAAAGTATATTTAATAGATTTTAAAAACATATAATCGGTTTAAATTATTGTTTTGTGTAAGTGTCATGACATGTTCTCTTGGCTGGTCTTTTAAGTATTTTTGAATAATGATTTAAACAGCTCGTTTTGTGTGAAATAAGCTGCACACATCAGTTTGTGGAGTAAAATATTCAAGTTTATGGTGTAAAATACACGCGCCTTCGCAAACTTCCTTTAATATAATAAAAATAATAAAAAATTGAACCTAGTAGCAAAAACTTTTGTTGAATTTTAGGCTTTTCAGCATTGTTTTAACAACATAATTGCTTTTATAGGCATCTGTGCACAAAATAAATGATTATTTACCCCTTTTCATCTGACACAGTTGACTTTAAATATTTTGTAAGAATTGGAAAAAGAAAGCAAATGGCGACTCGTAAAATTAAAGCATTAGGTATTCAAATATGGTGTAGTAGAGCTGTTAATCGTATTATGGTTAGACACAAAACTAAGAGCTCGTAATTCACCGTATAACACACTCCCATTTTAGTTACAGCCGTATTTTTACACTTCAGAAGTATCATATAGTGCTTATAATCATCAAAAGATTATTTCATTTTTATTTTGATTTTTAAAAGCTTCAATTAAATTAGAATACTTTTTTTTCAGTTTTCATTTATATCCACCTGTTTTCTTTGTTTTTCCCAACGTTTTTTGTCCATGGCGCCAGCGATGCGTATAAAATGCCACCATTACAATACAATACATTAAATAATTTTACATTTTAATTTCACATAAAAAATAATTACGATCTATTTATTACTTTAATCTCTATAAGTAACTTAATATTGATCAAAATATAGCTTTATGTTTTATAAAAGCATAGATTAAGAAGATAAAGGAGCTTGAGCTTGATTAAAGAATACTTTAAGAACAAATCGGTGCTAAAGTTTTACTAGTTCTTTATTCAATGTGTATATAGGATAAGCATTAAATCGATACAAGCATAGACCATTAGAAAACCTTTGTTTCTAGAAAATGACTAAATACAACTAAGTGCACTAAATAGTATTACGTTAATGCTTATATAATATATAATGTTTTTCATATCACCGAAATACGATAACAGCTTTATATTAATATTACCCAATACTTAAATAGGAGTTTTGACATTGGTATACTTTTTTTATTAACCATAATATGGCATTAAGCATTATTAGATAAAATAAATGCCTTTAAACAGATTCGAATCTTGACCAGAGCTGATTAAAAATGTTAGTATGACTTTAGGACATAAATCGGTACTTATTTTAGTTAATATATTATTTATGTGCTACTTGGGAAATAATACTACAAAAACTTTCCAAGTTCTTTAGTAAGAATTCTATAAGATTAGTTATGTACTTATTTATAGGATATTAAAATCATATAAATATTAAGGTACCAGCGTCTTCGCCGTTTAGTTTACGGTGACTTGACAGTACATTCATCCCAAGGGTATAGTGGGATAAACACAGCCTATATATTCTTTCAGGTTTAGAATTATTCGTATACAAACTTAAATCACAATCCATTTAATAGTTTTTGCGTGAAAGATTAACATACGTGCATCCATCCTCACAAACTTTCGTATTAATAATATTAGTAGTAGGATTCTCATACGCTGTTTTCATTTCAGGCAGACATTTATCTCTTAGATGATCCATTATCAGCTGTGGATGCGAATGTTGGTCGTCTTTTGTTTGAAGGTTGCATTAACGGCTACCTGCGGGGGAGCACGCGGATTCTTGTCACTCATCAAATACACTTCCTGAAAGCGGCTGACTATATCATCGTGTTGAATGAGGTAATGTTTCAGATTTTAAAAGTCACCCCTTTTAATAGACGATTTTCCAGGTGATTTATTTATTTACATAACTAAATAACCTTATTTTGCACTTCTACCACGCACGAGTTACGGGAAACGGCAGCAAAAGTCAAAATTATCGAAACAAAGCCAACGTATGCAACGTTATCATATGATTTAAACAAACGTAGAAATCTTAAACAAAAATGCTTTACAAAATAGCCAGTTCCAGATGCTCGAACAATGTTAATTCATAGTTGATCAAATGTAAAAATTATAATAAAAATTTTATAAGGCGATATTTACGAGTTTCCTGTATCATGAAAATTTTAACATATATATGTATATGAAATATTTCACATACTTTTTTAATAGTGTAGACATCATTAGTGTAATATAATTTAATTGGAGATATTATGACGCCATTATTATTTTAACATAGGGTCAAATAGAAAACATGGGTACCTTTGAAGAATTGACACAATCGGGCAAAGAGTTCTCAACTATGTTGGCCTCCCTGCAAGAAGGCAAGGATAAGGACGGTGATAGCATTGGTTCTGGAGCAGTAAGTTTTGTTTTTGTCTACACTTTAAATTGCCTATATAGTATGACATCCTCCTCGGCTAATTCGCACGCAGGTTTCAAGGTGTTGCGATGGGCGGTCGGCTGAATAAATAAAATAAAATATGAAAATATCTATTTCAGGGGTTTGGGTGTTGTGGTACCTGCATTTTTCAGATTTCCATAATTTGTGCTTTAGCTATCTTGGGGTCTGGCAGTGTGATGTTATCTGATATACTTATATGTCCTTAATATTGAATAGGTCGAAATTATATTTCGGACTCTCGTAGGTTTTAGCAAAATAGTATTATTACAATATTTCTAGTGTTTTAGTTTATTTTTGTAAGCTGCTAGTTAATCGCTTCTCCTTTGTTGAGATTCCGTGCTCTCTTGACCCAATAACGCGAAAAGAGGTTTCTTCAAGAATTTCTTGAAAGGAATAGTACATCTATATACTCGTTCATATACCTACATTATAGGGAAACATAATAATTTACATTTCTGATTTTTTTAAATTTAGAGAGTACAGAGAATGCACACAGATAATTTATTTAACACGTGTCCCTATTTCGGTCAAATATCGCCAGTCAAAATTGACCCACTTCCGAGCTTCCGATTGAGTTGAAATTTAGAACACACCTTCGTTTCCAATGACGATGCCATTATGCATATGATGCTATTATGCAATATCGTTGTAAATTCAAAATAGCTGCCGTCACAAAATGACGTTCGGTTGGGTAACCGGAGTACCTACTCCAATGGGATGAAAGACTGTCAGCCAGTTGCACAAACGGCCATTAAATTTTTTCATTAGTTTAAAGAGACATTACCCATACAATTTTGATATTCATTAGAGCTTAAAAGCGTCATTAAACCATAATGGACGGTTATGCAAATGACCGTATGTCTAATAGATAATGCATTATAAAGAATTTCAAATTCAAGACGTCTGCTGTGGCAACAGCTGCTTGATTTTCTAATCGAATTTAAAAGGCACATCATGGTTGGCTTTTGTTTATTTGTCCTTATCTATTTAAGAACATATAAATTAAATGTATTTCAACAAAAGCCTTGTGTTTGAATATTTTTTATTCCCTAATATTTCAAAGTTTCTCATTTTTTACGAATGTCATTACCTGCATTATTGAATTGTTATTAATTAAATCAATCATTCAATTCTAGAGTGTGGAAGGTAAAGAAAAGAAACGGCCTGCGAGGACTATCTCAGTAAATAATGAGGTAGAAGAACTTGATGAGTTTGAGGCGCAGAAAATGCAAGCGGAGGAACGAGCTTCAGGCAACTTGCGCTGGAATGTCGTTGTGGCCTATTTCCGTTCCGGCGGTAGCATTTGTTACATATTATTTACTCTCGGCATGATATTACTAGCCGCTGGTGCATCGGCTGCTACAGATTACTGGGTTAGTTATTGGTAAGTACATTGATTCCATTGTATGTTTTTTTATATATTTTGATTACATTGCGTCCTCATTTTTTAAATATTAACGATATATTTAAAAAAAAAAAGACAAATATATTTTGTGAAAAACAATTCTCTAGCATTAAGGAAAAACAAAAGCGAAATGTAAAGTGATTAAAAGTAGAGCAAATTGGGCATACTATTTTATTTTTATTCAGGCGAGAAGCGTTAATCCTTTTAACTTGCTTAATTTTTAGGTCGAACAGCATGGCAGCATACGAAGAATCCCTAGAGGGTGCTCCACCAGGTCGGTCTTTTATATTATATTATTTTTGAGTTTATTATTTAACAACGCATAAATATAGTTTCTAGCAGTCTTTTATAAATAAGTAAATAATATATATCCACAACCATTCGCAATCTGGGCGGCTGCTCTAACCATTGTGCTATCCGAGACTTAATTAGGACCGACGTACTTTTTCAAACACTTGTTAGTTTTCGCTACTAGTGAACGTATTTTCATCAATGTACATACATCCACCCAAGCATCCGAGAGGGTTTTTATAAACATTATATTAATATGAAAATTTTGCATTATTTGCATGGTACCATCTCTGGTTGCGGTAATTTTAATTAACATTTTTAATTTTATTTTATAGCTTAAAAAATTTATTTTATGATCACAGAGCCAGGATTAGATGTGCAAGTCGGCATGTTCACGACTGGCCAATACTTAATTATACACGGATCTTTAGTGTTGGCGGTTGTCCTTATTACCAATCTCCGTGTGTTCCCATTTGTTGGACTTTGCATCGGTGCCTCCAAGAAACTCCATAACTATATGTTTTCCACAATGTTAAAGGGAATAATGCGTTTCTTCGATACCAGCTCGTCAGGTAATTGATTCACTTGTGTTAGTAACTTTGGATTTTATAGTAAATAAAAAATTCTGAAAACTAAGGAATGTTTGCTGAGTTTATGATATTATTAAAACTGTTAGACGGAAGGTATAAATTCGATTTCCGGTCAAGTCAATATCGCAATAAAACACAGTTGTGCTTTCTTTAAAACATAATTACTTTACTATCGATAGAAGCAATGGTATGTGATATTTCTAATATTTATATCAAGAGAGTATCGTTAGAAAAGGAGTTACAAATTATATTTTCAGGACGTATCCTAAACAGGTTTACAAAAGACATGGGGGCGTTGGATGAAATATTGCCTCGAACGCTTCTGGACGTTCTCCAGATCAACGGCGTTTTACTTGGCATCTTAATACTAAATGCAATTGCCTTGTACTGGACATTGATTCCCTCTGCTGTGATGCTCTTACTCTTTTTCTTCATGGTTAGAATTTACTTAAAGATGGCGCAAAGTGTTAAAAGACTGGAAGGAACAAGTAAGTTCAAAATCAATTGATATATAATAATAAAAAAAAAATACAAGTTCATTAAATTAAAACTGAATCCACAACAAACGGTTTTGCCACTCCAGGTGGATATAAATATAACTCCAATCAGAGTCGGATTTTTCTATAGTTTCAGATAATAAAATTTAAGTTCTTCATGGCTTAAAAGATACAACACAATGTTGTTCATATTTTAATACGCTCTTTGACTATACAAAAATCGGGTGAATTTAATAGATTTAATAATTTTACAGCTAAAAGTCCTGTGTTTGGTATTGTGACATCGTCACTTAACGGAATTGCCACTATCAGATCTGCTGGAGCTGAGCAAAGGCTGATAAACGATTTTGACAATCATCAGGTAAGTACTTTCAAGTACTTATTTCCGCAAACCTATTTTGTTAAAAATATAGTATTTATAGGTATTAATGATGTCGATAGTTTAGTGATTGACGCATTCTGCCTGCAATAAGGAAGCATAACAGAAGTTAAGCAACTTTCGTAAGAGCCGATCATAGTATGGATGACTAATTTATTATCTCGAGCTTCTCTTTGCTTCAGAATGCACGTTAAACCCTTAGTCTCGTCTAAATATGCAGTCGTGACACCCATAAAACTACACTGACCCCGTGTGGTGGGTCATGGCCCATTCTCCCTATCTGATTTGATACAATTACATATATCACATTGATACCATAGGGAAGGCCTGAGGTTTTAAAGGCCCAGCTGGTGACTTTAAAAGGTTAATGTTGAATGATTTCTGCATTGAATCAACTGGTAATCCAACCTGGGACCTCAGAGGTCCTCTACTATAATAAATAATGTAAATAATTATTACAGGATTTGCACACTGCTGCGTGGAATGGCTATCTCTGCGGTGGTGGCTCTTTTGGATTATATTTGGATACCATGTGTTTGGTATACCTCACCACTGTGATATTTGTCTTCCTATATCTTGATTTCGGTAAATCTTTCATTCACTTACTTGTAATTTTAAACTCATTCTAGGTATATTTCACTCATTTATCATAACATCTGCTCGCTGTGTGTTGCTGTGCTCGCAAATGTTTTACAAAATAAGCGGTTACTAATGATTAATATTAAAAGAGTGTTCTTAATATCTTTTAGAAATATAAAAATAAGCAATCGTCTTAGGTACTCAGGGAATTGAGTACCGGGGCAGGCCGCTGGTCTCAGCTCCGGTGACGTCAATGTCATGGTACTAGGGTTACTAGGGTGGCTATGACCTATACATAGCCAATAATACTACAGTCCGATAATACTTTTTGATTATCAATAAAATACAATATAAGTTGGGTTCTTGTTATTCTCGAAGCTGTTTTTTCGAGCTTCTATCGCCCCTTATAGGTATTTTCCACATAAATTCCATTAAAAAATATGTAACAATAAAAGTTTATGTCATGCAGGTGATATAATAGCTGTGGGTAGTGTCGGTCTGGCCGTGACCCAGAGCAACATGTTGACTGCCATGCTTCAGCACGGAGCGCGTATGTTGGTCGAGTTTATAGCTCAGTTGACCAGTGTCGAAAGAATACTCGACTACACACGCATAGACACAGAAGAAAACCTCTTTGAAGGCAGTTAGTATTGATATTATAAACTTTACTGCTCATTCAATAAATAACTCCAAATATTAGCTTAAAAGGAAAAAAGGAAACTTAAATAATTCTATATTGTAGATGTATTCCAGTTAATATTATTTTACATTGATGGTCCCTGGTTTAGTTACACTAACTAGGGTGCTAATTGTCTAATTATAAAATTTATCACAATCCCTTTCAATTTGACAGTAGAAATATATTCACGAACTTCACGCTACAACTTTTTGACATGTGATAATGTTTGCGATTGTGACGTTCTTTTGAAAGATAATGAATGATCGATATTGCTAATTTGATGTTAATTGGGATTGTCTAAGGCAAGCGTTAGACAAAAAAAAATGTTTTAAGTAACTAAGTTTTTATTATATTTGTGATCATGCAAATCATTATTGGTCTGAAAGTGATAACGACTTTAAACGTTACGTAATTACATGCCTCACTATGACAATATTTATACCTTTTAAAGGGGTTACGATACATTTTGAAATTAAACAAATAGGCAACTCGTTCTAAATGAAGCAAATCTATTTAACACATAAACGTTGACATGATCAAATAATAGGTGAGGGGAAATTTTCCTTAATCGTATTTTAAAGTAATAGTCAGACGTAAAATTTTTTACTTCGAGTAAAGGTTATTCTTAAATCTCAGCAAAACTGTTCTTCTTTCTTATTTCAGAAATAGCATCAATCCCTACATGGCCATCAAATGGTGCGATTGTGTTCGATAATGTTAGCATGCGATATTCACCAGATGAAGCGCCAGTACTTAAAAACTTGAATATTGCTATCCAAAGTGGTTGGAAGGTACTTTACTTTTACAATTTTTAATCAAATCATTAAATTAGTTTGTGTTTTGTATAAGCTATCATAAATATCATAAAAATCTTATTTTTGAATCACCCTGTATACAGATGAAAACTGTATTTAATTCGTTGTATAGTTTAAACATCTCAGCGAACAGACAGCGGGAAATGTTGCCATGTATATATTATAAATGTGTATTTGTTTTCACTGATGCTAATTGTATTCAGGTGGGCATTGTAGGCAGAACTGGCGCAGGCAAGTCTTCTCTTATATCAGCCTTGTTCAGGTTCGCTTACATTGATGGGACAATCACCATAGATAAAATAGATACAGCTTTAGTTGCTAGACAGGTATGTTTGAGCGAATGTACACCATAGATGCAGTTTACTATATATTTATACGATATTTTCATTTGAAAATAGTTTTTGTAAAATTGTGCCTATTGTAATTTCAAACCAAAAACCAAAAAGAACAGATAATCATTTTAAATACTTGATATGAATAAATTAAAAAAGAAATATTTTGTAAACAAGTGGAAATTTTTTTTTTTGCAGGAACTCCGGTCCAAAATCTCGATAATCCCTCAAGAGCCAGTACTGTTTTCAGCTACTATCAGATATAATTTAGATCCTTTCAATATCTATAGCGACGCTGATATTTGGAGAGCTCTTGAACAGGTTAGCAAAAAAATACAATGAACGTTTGTTACATTTTTCTATAATTGCAAGTTTTTCTTTTTATGATAATTGAGTAAGATCAGTGTGATATTCCTGGTAAATTGCGATTAAATATTGTGGGTGTAGGTGGATATGAAGGGTGCAGTGCCATCCTTGGATTTCAAAGTGACAGAAGGAGGCGCCAACTTCTCGGTGGGCCAGCGGCAGCTACTTTGCCTTGCCAGGGCAGTTCTTCGATCAAACAAGTTGCTGATCATGGATGAAGCAACGGCGAATGTGGATCCTCAGTAAGTGTTACTCCTGGAACAAAAAAAAAAAACTTAGAGAGTTGTGTCAATTTAGCAAATTTTTCGGAGTAAATTGCGTAAGCACGTTTTAGAGAAATTTATATATAACACTATTATGAATCGAGCAACACTTTCATACAAATTCTTAAGTTTTGCTTAGGATTAAAACATTGTAATGATAAAATTTTATGTTTCAACAGGACCGACAGTTTCATTCAACAAACGATCAGAAAACATTTTGCTTCATGCACAGTGCTCACGATAGCCCACCGTCTTAATACTATAATGGACTCAGATAGAGTATTGGTTATGAGTGCTGGCCAAGTTGCAGAGTTCGATCACCCATTCATTTTACTATCGGACCCTAACAGTCATCTCACGTCAATGGTCAAGGAAACTGGAGAAAAGAATGCTTCTCAACTCCTCGAAGTTGCAAGAGAAGCTTATTTCCAAAGCAATATGAAAGAGAATGCAAGATGATTTTTGCATTGTCTTGTCCCATTAGACCAAATTATCTTAGCACTACCTTACTACCTTATTTGTTTGAAAAAAAAAAACTACTTAAGTTTCCTACTATAATATTCTTAAACGAATATTACCAAAAGGTATTATTGTATAATAAAATAATAATATAAAAAAGTTAATTTGTAGACTTTTTTGTTACCTATACAACGAGTTCTGTTAACGTTGTTTTATTAGAATATGATGTGAAATTGAATATCGAATATGTACTAAAATAGCGAAAAACGGCACCTCACTCGGTGACTTTACGAAAGGTTTAAAGAAATATTATTATGAACTGAGTATCATAAGTCATATAATTTTTTTTTGTAAATAATTGTTTTTAATAAATAATTATATAAACCGAAAAATTGTTTTGTATTTTATGCCATTATTATTAAAATGATTTGTAGGGGTACATGTATCGTTAATATTCCAAGCTGCTAGCTTTACAAAACTATTAAATAAAAATTAATAGCCGAAAGGTATGAATAACTTGTGCGGATTGGCGTAAGTTACCACGGCAAAAAATTTTTGTTCACCAATCCCGTGACCAACCTTTGCGACAGTTGCTTAACAACAACGATCGCAGACCTCAGCGTTGATCCACTACGCCATCGAGCTACTCATTTTAAATTAAATAAGATATAATAAAAGAATATGTTAAACTAAAACAAACGATTCATATTAGATTCGTGATCGAGATAGTGGATCGAACTTCATATAACTTTGCACCTTAGAGGCACGAGGCAACGTTCGCATCGACGTCTAATCCGATTTCTTATTAAACTTGAGAAACATAACATACCCTGAGAAACAATTTACGTCATCATAACCGAGAGACGCCCACTGCTGGGCATAGGCCTCCCCCAATGATCTTCAACGTGATCGGTCCTGCGCCTCTCGCATCCAGCTATTTACCTATTACGTGATTGATAATAAAGAGAATTAAGCACGTAGAAAATCTCGGTATACGCCACTAGTAAACTACCTGCAATTCAATTTGAATGAAATTGTGACACGTACCTCTCATCGCTTATAGACTTACGCATCAATAACAATTTTGGCTTGGGTATTTACATCGAAATAAACGGTATGCTAGAAAACATGCTATCAAAAACAGTCCTACGATACATCCGATAAATCCTTTTGTTTTGTGTTCATAATAATATACCATCCAAGATTCATCAGAACAGTTTTTGCAACAACCGGCCATACTTCCTGACGAAATTCATTGTCATAATATTTTCTCCATTATAATTAATATATATATTTTTTGTAATTTATTAAATTTATGTATCACATATCCACCAATTATTTTCAAGATATTAATACTATAGAAGAATAGCTATGACATTTGATTGAAACATAGAGAAATATTTGACAAAGAGAATTCGTTATGTCTGATGAGGCATTCCCACTACGAACCTAATTTTCTAAACATTGTTTGTGGGACATTAAATAATCAAAGGTTTGTGGTTTAAATACAGAAAAGAAGTATACATTTTTAAAAACACTCGTTCCCTCGTTAGGATAAATTATTCTTATCTAGTTAATAAATAAAATTCACATCCAAAAATCCTTGTTAATATTTTCAAGTTTATATCAATATTGGCAAATCGCTAAAACAAAGCTTGTTCAAAATTTACTACAATCTCGACTAATGGAAGTACCATCGTCTAGAGCAGGGGTCCACCACCAAACCACTAAAACTTCAAATTAAGTTAATTCATTATTGTAAGCTATATAAGCGGAGATTAAACATTAATTTTTAACAAGACTTTTAAACGAGACTATAACTCGCAAGAGTTAACTTGAAAACTGAGCGCAGTAGGTAATACACAACGTCAAGTTAACTCTTACGGGCTGCACCTGCCAATGAAAATGATTATTGAAATGTAACTTTATAGTATTCAAACTGAGTATTTAAATTTTTATTCAAACTTAAACAATCATAATTGATTCTTATATAAAAACTAATATGAAGGATGAATCTGATGCTCTTTAATAAGTCTATTGATATCAGGTTCTATTTTACTCAACAACAATCGCAAGTCGCTACGTTCGGTAACATGCAAACGATTTCCCTTTTTAGTAAGCAGTGTTGCCACAGCACTAAATCCTCGTTCATACAAATATGACGATGGGAATGCTATCAAGAGTCATTGAGTGATTGACCATAATCCAGGGTGCAATGGTCCACTTGAGGTGAAATTGCTGTGTTGACATATGAAAACTGATCCAACACCCACTCTGGTATTTCCAAGGTCAAACTGTCCTGATATCGTTCGGTGAAGTCAATATGGAGGTTTTCCAAATATTGGCAGTAGGCAAATAAATCGTCGTTACTGCAGGATTTCGATAAATTCAGAAATTTGAGAAATTCACATCTGCCCATATTCTTTTTGTGTAGAAGCAGTTTGGCTGCGAAAACAGCAACGATGTTTATTGTTTTAATTAAATTTAGTTTATCGCCTTGCAGTTGGACATTCATGCCGTTGAACAATTTATACAGGTCTATCATGTAAGCTATATTATTCTTTGATCTAATAAGCATGTTGTGCATGTTGTGCAATTCTGTATCTTAAGTTTCCAAGAACTCATCACAGAGGTAAACAGGCTGTAAAATCGAGTCAGACAATTGCCTCTTGATAGCCAATGAACTTCAGTACGAAACAACAAACAGTTAAAATCCTCGTCATTAGTAAGACAAAGCTAATGAAATAATCTTTCATTCAAAGAGCTGTTGTGGATTTTATTGGCTGCTTTGATGACATATTGCATTGATTGAAATAGTCGTTCACTTAAGTTACTAGGGAACAAATATTATCTATGAATAACGCAATTTACAGCAACGTCAACTGGAATTTGGTTTTTTAAGCACGCTACGAAGCCTTTTTGGCACCCTGTTATAGCCGGAGCGCCATCTGCAGCAACTGTTTCCCTTTCAGGTCTGATTCATTTATTTGCGAAATCCAGTATTTCGACTAAAGACAATTTTTAGTTACTATATAAAGTACGCCAAAAATATGTTTAAAAATGCCCCCCCCCCCCCTCTCCCTTAGCGGTGGTGGAACCCACACGATCGTGATGTTCATGCTCAAATTACTTTAGTGCACGAAAGAAAAGTCAAAGCAACATATTTTTATTTATTATTTAGAATCATAGGAATTTTTTAATAATCAGTGTTAATCAAGTTGCAACTAAATTTATACTTAATAAAATTTTAATAAAAAATATTTAGTTACTTTGTATGATACACTGAAAACAGTTTTGTTTTCTAGATAAATAAAGATAAACCTCACATTTGGTACATAGTATGTTGAACCTACTTTTACACCCTTCCATCCTGCATGCTCTTGGACTGTCTATTTTATTGAATGATGGAAGATGGTCATATCCATCGTACCTTTTGGCCATGGGAGGTGGATCCCAGATGTACAATTGGATGTGATTAGGATGGATTTGTTATCCATCCATTTTACAACAATATCATTGGTAATTGGTATTGGTAAATTGCTGGGAATCGCCACGTTTCATTTTGCGATCTTGCTTGAAGTCCATTTTTTTCTCTCAGGAATTCGGTTTATCATAATTGTGCCGGTTCCATGGAGTCCCATTACATTAAATCTCTCGAGTAAAAGTATCGATGAAAAAAATCTGTCGAAATATACACAACTACCTCGTGGAATGATTTAGAGAGATGAAAAATTACCGAAGGTCCAACGCCTAGAGATCTGTCGGCAAAATTTGTTTTAGCGTCCTGGTAAACTTCAAAGTTAATCAATAAACCACGTGGACATATCATGCTGAATGGAATCATCTGTTTGTCTATTGAATAAAATCCTTGCTGGCGTTCTAATTTATCGCGAGCATTCTTGACTTGAGTAAACACAGGTTGCACTTTCCAGAGTGAATTCTGGTTTCCTGGAGAAGACTTATCACTGTCAACAACATGAAAAGCCATACGCAGAACTTTAAAGCGGTCTTTAGAAATTTTATTAGCAATCAAAACTAATTTCATTTCTGTTCGCCAGGAGATACATGTGAATGCGTGGGTATAGAATACAACCCATGATGAAATGAACTCCAACAAAAAATTTTTTTTAACTCTGTCGCTTTAGTGTTGAGTACATTCCCGTTTTGCGTAATTTAAAAAATTGATCGTCAAAATAGTCTTCAAAGTAGGCCAAAGGAGACCTTACCACTGCTGGTTGTCGCTCTGGATAGCAATGTTCCTTTTGATTGAATGGCATCTGTTTCCAGATCCTTTGGCAAGTGTCTTGACTTTTCGTAGACTTCTTACGAACTTTTGGTGCATTCGCAGACGAAGGACCTGGACTCGGAGGTGATTGAGGCTCATTAGCATGCATCAACGGCAAAACCTATTGCACGGCCTTGGCCTGTCTTGGGGTGGGCTGAAATGGGGTCGAACGACGCAGGAAGTGCTCTTCGGGCTGTCCCCGTGCATCGCCTCCATGGAGAGGGACATCGCCGAGTTTTAGTGGATATGCCCCTACTATTTGACTAGCCCCAGAATGGGTTGAGTCCGCAGGGAAGAGACCCACATAACCCGCCGACCACGCGCTAGGGGCAAGCGGGTGTGCGTCTTTCGCGTATTTCTGAACGTCATGTAGCGTGAAAAAAATACATGTAGCGTGAGAATCTTGGTTCATAAGATCAAAATACTTTTAGACATGCATTACATTTGAGGTGCGAACTATATGATGTCATCTTGGATGTTTTTGGTGAGATGCTTATTAAAACTTTAGGTTCATGTGGATCTATCCATATCAAGTTAGGAAGGAAGAATGAAAACGTATAACCGCTCAGCCACATCACTTGACATCAATGTGGAATAGCGTAGCATTGTTGTTAGACTTTACAGTACCAGACAATCGGTGGTTGACACGGCAAGGTATAACAATTTCTATAAATGCTCCGTAGAGGGGTAAAATAAAAGTATAGTTATTCGTTCGTTTAATAAAACACCCCGTTTTTCAGGTTTCATATGTGGTTTATTAAAACGTTTACGTTTAAGAGTATGTATATTGAATGGTGTCTCAATTTAGTTTATTTTGAACGTTGTACAAAGCATTACAAACCAAATAACACCTATGATTACATTAATGGGAATTGCTTTGCGATATATAAAATCTGTCGTATGTTCTATAATTTTTTATGCATTGTGTATGTACTTAATAGAAATGCATGTGAATATACTTACTGTTTTCATTGCCTGCTACATAGGTTGCACCTGTACAATGACCAAGACAGGTAGATGATAATCATCAGTAATACGGCGCTGATGTAAAGTACATGAGTGTCGCTGATGATCGGGTCCTCACAGCAAGGTTTTGGACTATCGCAACAACTCATGTCTCCTTTTACTTATATATTTTATGTTGTTTTATGTAGGTATGTCTTATTGGATTGGGGATTCATGTTGACAATTTTGAAGTTATAAGTTTTTTATATTTATTGGCATTATGGTGGTTAATAGCAAAATATCGAGGTAAATGAAAAAATGTTGTACATGGAAAGTTTAGGCAGACAGACAGATGGCAAATGACGCTGACTGCCGTGACCAGAGAGTACGTAAAAACCTGTAAAAACCTTTGGTAAAAACTAAAGATTAAAAGTATACATATGTGTAAAAACTAACGATTGCGTGACTGGCTAACGGATTTGAAAAAAAAAAAATTATGGGGCTGTGACAAAGATAAACAAGAAATAAGACGTAAAGAATAAATATATCTGGGTTTTCTTCAGACTTAGAATAAATATATACAGGACAAAATTGTAGTCAGTGAATAAAATTTATTATAATGTTTGATATGATAAATCAAAATTCACGTTTTTAGGGTTCTGTAGTAAACAAGGAACCCTTATAGTTTTGCCATGTCCGCCCGTCCGTCGGCCGCGGTTTAGCTCAAACACTATTGGTACTAGATTGTTGTAAATTCGAATGACGTATACGCTTTAATTAAACCGAACTGTAATAAATCAAAAAGAATCAGATATAAGAACACAAGACGGGATCTTTTAGAATGATATCTGAAAAAGGTCATTATTATGTTTTGCAGTTTCATTCTATGCGGTTAACCATAGAATGAATGTTAACCATAATAACATATTCTATCTAAATATTCTATGCGGTTTATGGTTAACATATTCTATCTAAATATGTTAACCATAAACCGCATAGAATGAAACTGCGAAACATAATAATGACCTTTTCCGATATTTTTCTAAAAGATCCCGTGCTGTGTTCTTATATCTGATTCTTTTTGATTTATTACAGTAGTACACTGTAGTGTAATGTCAGTAGGTGTAGTTTTGAATACTTTTTGCCATTGTTGCGATCAGTTGAATGATTTAATTTGCAACTTAACTGGTAAATCCATGGTTGTATCAAATGAAGAAATGATCATGTGGGGGGCTTTTTTGAGGGTGATTAGTGAATCCAAGGCAGAGATCCAAGAACACTTTTGTCCCGAAGCCACTTTATTTTTACTAGACTTGTAGACTTTTTTCTGGTTCAGTGGTCTATGCTTATAATTAATTTAGTAATAAAATTTGTTTCAAATGTTGTATTGTTGATCGAAGGAATTGTAATTTTATCAAACATTTTCATTGTTAGATAATTATCTATGATAATATAATTTATGGTTATCTTATTCTAGCTGCCGCCGCTTATTTTCATATTAATAATGTAGACAATAAAAGTGAAAAGCTAACCCAAGTACTTTCTTTAAGACCAAGTGGCGAATTAATTTCACTTATTATTCTTTATTATTATCGTTTGTACATGACTAAAACAAGCGCTAATTCTTTATTTTCTATATTTCAATAGGAAAAAATATATTACAACAATCATATTATGACACGATTAGGTATATTTATTTGATCACATGCACATTTTCAAAATTAATTCTAGCTAGCTAATTAATTAATTTACATTATACACTAACTGTTGGGGATGGAAACAACAGTTTGGAGATTTGAAGGCGTTTATTCTTTCTTCTTATTTGCAGTACAAAGTACGAAAACGTTCGTAGGCATGCTTTCATACAAATCGGGTTTACTTAAGTGGGATTTGTTCGTTCGCACTTAGCTACTATCCTAACGCGTTAATTGACCTAATAGATTCATGTTATGTCGGTGCCCCTTCCACTATGCGGCGGGGAGGTCGCGGGGGGGTGCTCCCGTCGCTGCTGCCCGTGGTGTGCCCCCTCCACTCGTTGCGGGGGTGAGGTTGCGGGGAAGGGTCTTCATGTCCGCCGTCCGTAACAGTTCTCCCCCCGGCGAAGAGACGCTCGAAGAGATGCTCGGAGCCCCTTTCGCCGGATCGGACGGCTCGCCAGGCTCAGGATCGCAGCGCGTCCCTCCCCGCTGGTCCGGGGGAGGTGCGGATAATGTGTCCAGTGTCTCGGTGGTCAGCACGATGAGCTTCCTCGTTGGTCGCCGAAACAGCCCACCTCTGGTGCGTACGTCGGCGCTTCGGATCTCGCCGTCGGGCCCGGGGAAGATGCGTTCGATTACTCCCCGGGGCCAGATGTTGCG